GAGCCACGGTTAAATCGATGGCGATCGTTAAAACTGAATTATGCTCTGCGTATTAATGCCGGAATTATGTGCTACTTGCGTCGTTGTATTTCCTTGCAAAATTACTTGTTGTTGGCCGTAATAAACGCATTATTATTAAGATTACAATGTTTCTGCTCTCACACATAAATCGCGGCATTATTATTATAATTATTAATTTTATAATCACTTTTTTGTATTATTAAAATTTAGATTTTTTTAAGTATAAAACTCATAAAAACAGTTTGTAAAATAAATGTAAAGTAAATAATGTGCTACAATTGGTAAAATTTCTTCCGGGAAGTGTTCAAGATATAAGCGTTTTATATTGATGTTGACGTCGAAAGTGGTTGGTTTTCCGAAACGCGGGGAATTAATAACCGCGCTGGAGGAGAAATCGAATGGTTATTATTCGCGGAGAACACTTCGCGCACGGGATATATTTTCCGAGATGACAATTTTGGTATTGCCCTCGAGGTCCCGTGGGGACCGCGCTTTATTTCCTTTTATATATCGGCCAACGATTCCCGCTCGGTGTGTACACCGGCGCGCGGGGAACCTTGAATTAAGCCGCAGAAATACTCGCATTTCTCTACGGGCGACCGGTCACCCCCCGGTCTTTTTCCCCTCTCGTTTAATACGTGCGTGGACTGCCGGCGGTGGACGCTGCTTATGAAATTGGCGTGGATGTATTATATTTCGCGACGCAGATGTTAAATGCGCGCCGGCGATGTACAGTCATGGACACATCGGTTGCGACACTTTCGTTTTTATAGATTTCAAAACGCACTAATATTTTGCAAATGCGGACCACGATTGGTGTTCCAAAACGCGGGGACAATTTTGGTATTGCCCTCGAGGGTGTCGAGCACTGTCTCTAGACATCGTGAAAAGTACATCGTGGTTCGCATTTGCAAAATATTATAGTTATCTACAAAATATATATTATGTATATTAAATATATATTGGAAACCTATATAAAAAGAAGTGTCGCAACCGATGTGTCCACGACTGTACACACGCTTTGCTCGGATACTTTCCATCGGTTTTACCGGTTCAGGGCAAAAGAGGTTTCCGCGTTGTGCAAAAAGATACGCGTAATTATTGCGCTCATTAACGCGAGAGAGGAAAATAAATTCGTTAAAGTCTACAGCTCTTTTGACCGGGCAAATATTTACGCAAATTACGCAACATGTTTGTTGCATTTTGTTTGGCACTAAATTTATTTACTGACTGTAATTACTTCGTATCTCAGTTTAAACTGAGTCTGCTTTAATAATTATAATTTGTGCCTCGATATAATACAAATGCTTTAATGTTACAAATATACGGAAATGGCGTGAGAAGATAATTGATTACGCTTCTATAAGTGTGGATGTTACAAAAAGAAGCCAAAGAAAGAGGCGTGTTGCACGCTAAAAGTCAGGGCGAGCACGACGAAGTTCGCAAGGGAGCAACGAGCGGAAAAGTCGTGCAAACAAGTGGCGCTCTGTATCTCTCGGCGAATGAGAAATACGAGCAATCAGCTGTTCTCGAAGAGATCAGACGAACACGGGCGAGAGAGTTTCCCTATCGGAGAGGGAGAAACGTGGGAGAAAAGACGGGAGTACAAATGCGCGCCGAAAGTTCGCTCGTCGCGTTTTCCGCTTGACGTTGCGGCAGCGCGACGGCCCTTCTTACTACTTCGCTACTCTCTCTCTTTCTCTCTCTCTTTCTCTCTCCTCTTTCTCTCTTCCTTTCTGTCGTGTCTCGCATTTCGTCACGAGCTTTCCGCCCCGAAGTCATCAGCTACCTGTACGCGGGCGCGAAAAACTCCACGGGCAAGTCGGACGAGGCGAGCTCGTTTCGTTGCCGTGTGACAAATCACCTGTCCCGAGGAGCGCGCTTCCGCTCGGCGCCGAAACGCGGCGAAAGGTGAAATTGCAACGACAGTAAAAACGCGTCGCGTATATACACATTGCGGGGAATAATGCCTAGTGTTGCGGTTAAATTTATGCCAACTAAATACAATGTCCTTTAACGCGGAAGCCATTTTCAAGACAGACATATATACAAGAGCCGTCAGTAGATAAAAAAAAAGATATATATAGTAATGGGCCAAAGCATTTTTGTACAATAGACACGATATATCTACCGTTAATATTTGAAGATACCTCGGTTAAGATTGTGAGGCTGAACACGATATCCTGAGAAAATCCTCGTCCGGCTTCGACGGCGAAAAAACGTTTCGCGACGAAAGCTGGATGAACCGCGCGCGCGGCCCGGGAATCCTCAACCAGGCGCAACAATGGAAACGTAATAATAAATAAGAAGCGCATGAAAACGCAACAATAGAGGCGTAACAATAAATAGAGGGAGATAAAAAGACGGGAGTGAGCCAGGGGACGTGCAATAATTTCAAATCATTGCCATGCCGCGCGGAATGTGAGACGCGGATGCAATCGTTGATCCTTAAAAATACCCGAAATCGCCGATTCTCCGAGTAATTTATCGCATATCGAGAATATATATTTTGTCATTTTCAATATAATAATCTTAAGACAAAAATATATCCACCTTAAACTTAAAAAAGACCGAAATTGAAGAGATTGCTACGATTGAAAACCAAGAATTCGGTGCGACTTATTGACTCTCGATAATTTCACTCTCCGAAAGTAGAACGTAAAATCTATATACGTCTACGTATTTCTCGAGATAGATACATAACAGTACGTAACGGTTTACATTCTTATATTGCCGCATGCCCCGCGATTGCAGAAGTCTAATAAGTATTTCAGCGGTCGCTACCGAGGGCGCGCGATTAATTATTTACCCTGCCGTTTTCAAAATTCAATGGTATCGACGTGCGCCGGATACGCTCGTCCACGCGGACGTGACGCGGTCTCCTCGCCCAGGTTCGCGTCGTAAGGGCGCATCGAGCATTCCCGGGAAAGGGAACTTAGTTCGAAACAATCCGTAATCCCGCGATGGAATTGCGCGAGAGCTAGGGGCGGACGACGACGTCGTCGGAAGGGCAGGCCGTGGCTCGTGTTAAACTGGAAATAGTGGCTCCGGCGATGTCGACGGAGATTGGCACGGATCCAACGGATTCATCGCGCCCGGCAGGGGCGACGAAGTCAACTATACGTTAATCTTCTGCCGGCGCGCTTTTCATTTTCTACTCGCCTTCCTCTCTTTCCGAGAGCCTTCCCCGAGAAGGTTCATTCTCGGCTACATCGACTGTATCGTACTTTTATCGAGAGAACCATCATTTTCCACGTCCAATGACGAATTTAGAATTTAAAAAAGTCTAATCGTAAGAATATGATTTAATTTTTTTAATAGATGTTTTGTCCAAAAATATTTTGCAAAATATTTTTCACAAGTGATAATAAGTATAAAATAAATTAATAAGATAAGAATTGCGATAGTTTATCGGAGATCGCTTTTGAAGATACGTTCTTTAGATAAAGATACTGTATACCTCTGGAGGGGCTAGGTGCTAGTATAAATTCCTGACGCGAATTTGGCGACTTTTCAAGAAGTTGATTACACAACAACGCGGCGAACTGCGAGGTCACTTCCGCCTCCTCTTCTCCTTCTTGATTTTTCTTGGATACCGAACTTCTCTCGTCTCTTCCTACATTTACCATTTCCGTGAAACGTTAATATAGAAAGAAATAAAAGTATTCTTACTTCGTCATCTACAGATTTTTATCGAGAAGACGAAAAAGGAAATGCGACGCTCTCTCTTTCTATCTTTCTCACACGTTTTCACGTGATATATTTCCAGTAAGAAACCGGAATTTAATTCTGCGAGCTTTCATGCTAAAGTTATCATTTTGAAATCTTTATAAAAGCGAGGTAGTCGCTCTGTCCAAATAAGTAATTCTAAAGCTACTTTTAGAACAATACTACTGCGCGTCAACGACAATCAACCCCCCACGTTCAAAACTCGAGAACTATACTTCCATCCAAAATAAAAAATAAATTAATAAAAACCCTAAATATATATCCTAAAAATATATAACCGTCCAAAATCAACGTGCTCGCAAAAGTTTCTTTCATGCGGACTCACGTCTCGAAAGGGTTAAAGACACAGTAGTCGCCGCGGGGTGGAGGCCTCGAGCGCGATCGCGATAATTTATTTCCGACGACGACGACGGAAGCGAGCGCACGATTTCTGGCGAGTGCATCGGAACGGTGGCAGTTACGGGGGATCGAAATTGGCGCGGGTCCAGGATGGATTCGGGCCGCCGCGCGACAAGTCGCTCCAGCGTCGTCGTTTCGGTGCCTACAGGAAAAAGCGGACTCTTTTAAGCTCACCCCCGCCCCTTCGCGGAGCCTCGCGACCCATCTTCTGCCGCCTGCTGCTCCGGCGCGCCGCGCGGCGTTCTTCTCGAGTGCGTTGTGTAGAGGACTCTAAATGGAATTGGCCTCGCGCCAGTGAATACCCACGGTTTCTTTTGGCGAGATGGGATTTTTCGTTCGGCACGCACGACGTACATTTGCGCCTCTCGTCCCTTCCTCGAGCGATTCGCGCGCGATTGATCGTTTGTCCGCGAAAGGATTCACGGAGGCAACTCGAATCGGAATCCAGAACTTTTGATCTTTTGATCGGCACAAGTCATCGCTTCATTCAGGGTCGATCGATAAGTAAGATAACATGCTTTTTTGAATTTTTTGTATACAATTAAAGAATATAAATTGGTTACTGTATATGTAACCTTTCTTTCTCTTCGAGTCTCGAATTTTACTTTAGATAATTTATGTATGTTAGCGAAGCTTTGCGCTAAGTCTCTCGAGTATAATGGGAAATCGGGTGCAAAACCTTATTGCGAATTTAGAACTTCAAGCTCCGATATTGCAAAATTATAATATATATTGAAAATGCTTGTGATTAAAATTAAACATTTAATATGCAGTTGCTTCTTTCGAGCTATACTAAGGTGACTGTTAAAAAGTATGCGTAAAGTTATGTTAACATTATGGATGACATTTACCTCCGTGCACTTCGCAGACCAGGAACAGGTCAGCACCCTCCGGGTAAGCCTCGAGAAGTTTACTCATGTCTCGCCTCTTCGCATCATAGATTATCGGCTTCGCCGGTGGCACTGTAAACAGAAAAACCGACATGTAAACGATATGCGCATTTTCCAGTTTGATAGCTCGGGCTGTCGCGAACGCGGCGCCCGAAGAAATTTGTTTAAAGGGGATAACTTCATTTCGAAAATTACACGCTGTCGTCATTAATATTTATTACATTACGTAATAGTATACTATAAATTATAAAATATGCATGTATATGTAAAATGCAATACATTTTCTACAGTAAAAAGTAGTAGAAAATGTATTGTATTTTACATACACATGCATATACAGCACGCGTGTGTCGTATATATACAGGGTGTCTCATAATAGGTGTATCACCGTTCATAGGTAGGTTGAACGGACTAAACTGAATCGAAAAGTCCTCTACCATTTTGCAAAATTCGCAATCGTAAACGAGACATTAATTTTTGAAGATTGACGAATAAACGCGTATTCATCCGGCCCACCGCTGAATGCAAGTGCGTGACAAGATAAATAGATTAAACTGAACAAAAAAGTCCTCTACTATTTTGTAAAATTCGCATTTATTAACGAGATATTAAGTTTATTTGCCGATCTTCAAAAATTAA